CGGGAACCCGACCACAAGCACCCAGCCTGGGAGACAAATGAAAAGAAGTGGGAGACAAATGAAAGGACATGGGAGACAAGCCAGCCGGGAACCGGACCAGACCATCCAGCACCAAGGCGACCATTCTTTAAAGCATTGAGAACCCCTAACAGTAAACTGTTTGGGGAACAAGTGGGAGACAAATGAAAGGAAGTGGCCTGGGAGACAAATGAAAAGAACTTGGAGACAAATGAAAGGAAGTGGGAGACAAATGAAAGGAAGTGGGAGACAAGACGGCCGGGAACCCGACCAGACCATCCAGCACCAAGGCGACCATTCTTTAAAGCATTGAGAACCCCTAACAGTAAACTGTTTGGGGAACAAAGACTTTATCGGAGATTCAACGTGTTCTTTTTCGTGCGAAAGAAATGAAAAAAAAATGCACACTTGCGTATTTCATTCTGCACTTCGGTGGTTCAAAAGGAGCAAAGGTTCCATAAACTTTTGCCCGTCACCCCCCACCCCTGACCGAGTCCCGAGTCCGCCTCACGTTTCTTGAAGGCGCCCCAGTCCAGGCTCCGGAGCTGTTGCAAGTCCTGCCGAGGCGAGTCCCGCGAGTCCCGGGCGCAGCGACGTATGGGCAGGGTGCCGGGTGCAGGGTGCCGGGGTGCCGCGAGGCTGATCCACCACGCCGAAAATGGATCCGTGCGAAAGAATTTCAAGTTCAGAAAGCTCCAGTCTTGATGTCTGTGACCTCTCCTGCTTCTGGAGCTGAAGGTCGATGATCCGCCTTCTACATCAAGTGCACGAGGCATAGGTCAACGAACCAAAAAGAACATGAATGAACAGTGTTTGACCGGTCCCAGAAGAGTCGAACGAGTCGACCGGGTCCAGCAGGGTCGAAGACTCGTCGGTCCTTCTGGAACTTCGCGCTGCTCGACACCGTGCGCAGCTCCTGGCGGCTGCGCCGCTGCCGCTCCACGCGTCTCCGGCCCCCCTATGGCACCCGGTGCCGGCCAAACCGGCACCGGTGGCCATTCGGTGGGTTGAAGAAAGGTGGCGACTGAGAATTGGATGATCAACTGATGTCCCAATTGAGATCCTAAATGGATTCTTGGGTTCATTCTTGTCAGTGACTAAGAGCAGTTGGATAGAGCTCAATCGGGTTTGCTTGGGCGGAACCATCTCCCGCACCTTCAAACCATCCCAAAGAAAATGCAGGTTTGGATCTCGAGCGGAGTGAAGCCGAGTACTTGGTGGACTGGGGAAAAAGACCACGCGCCGCAATAAAAGCATGTGGGGAACCTCAGTGGACGTACCATGCTCCAGCATCCAACCAGTCCATTTGGTCCACAGTAATCAGTAAATAAACGCTTCTTCTGCTCTCATCAGCTTGAATTCTTGCAAGAAGACGCATGCTTCGGTCTTGCCTGCTTGCTCTCATCTGCTCTCATCAGCTTGACGGGGCCCATCTGCCCTGCTCCCCGCAGAGACCAGCCATGGCCAGGTCCGTCCTCAAGAAGGGCCCTGACCTCTTCAAGACCTAGCTGAGGCACCTGGGCGAACTGGCTTGAGCAGCCAAAGAATGAGAGTACCAGGTACCATTGACCACTGGTTTGTAAAGGCACCAGTAGCTCCTTCCGGTGCAGGCAGCCATTTCCACGTACATGAATGAACATAGCAGTAGAGTTTGACCGCACGTTGTCAGGTTTCGACAGGTTTTGTCAGTGCAAGCCAGGGGTGGCAACTCCCAACAGCGTCAGGTGGCCTCTCCTGCCCAAAGTGGAGGGGTCTCGGGAAGTCTACTGGTCGTTTTAACTGGCATAAAATACTCTCAGCACTCCTGGCACTCCCAGACAACGAGACCTCAGAACGATCAGATGTTGAACTGCGGCCTGAAAATCCAGAACAGTAGGGCAGTTTGCGAAGGTGCTTAGTACTGAGCAGCTCATAGCGGAGAATCTCAGATGGTTTCTGCCAAGCTACACAAACAGTACATCAACTTCAGTCTCTCCCCACCGTGACCAAACCACCGGTCACCCTTTTGGACTGATGGATGTTCTCCCGACACCGGAACCAGCTCGGACCGGACCGCCCCAACGAGATCGGTGAGACCGACTCGACCAGCGCGGCTCCGATCCTGACCGCCCCAGAGACGGCGCAGACGGAGGCAGAGACGTCGATCGATCCGGAAATCATCTGGAAAGATCCAGCTTCGTTTCGCCCGACAAAGCACCAAGGTCTCCGGGTCGTTCGAGACCAACACAGGCAGCAGAGGCGACCCCGTTGGTTCCCCAACGCCCCAACCAACCGCATGTTTGAGCCCGGCGGCGGCCGGTGGCGCGCCGGAAAGCCTCCAGCAGATGGACGTGGGCATCGGTGCTGGGGTCGGTGCTCCAAGGTCTTTAGAATCACTTGAGGCTTGAGGGGTTCAAAAGCGGTGAAGGACGATAGAGGACACATCAGCGAATTCCCAATGTGTCATGTCGCCAGTCTGGACTGTGGCCCAATCCGTTGACC